GGGACCTGCTCACAGGTCTTACTGTCCTGTTTCCCTAGTTTTCAGCACCCCCCGCATGCACTGTGTCTGCGCTCTGGTGCGGATGGCTGGAGCTGGGTGTTCAGCAGTCCTGGGCTCCCTCTCCCTCCCTGCTGACTCCTCTCCTCCCGCCGGGAGCTGGGGTGAGGGGCGCTCAGGTCCTGCCGAGTCGCGGCTGGTATCTTACCCCCTTCGTGAGGCACTGGGTTCTTGGCAGGTGTAGATGTAGCCTGGCTGTTGTCCTGCATCTTCCGGTCTCTCTTTTAGGAAGGGTTGTATTTGTTGTATTTTCAAGAACATGTATGGTTTTGGGAGGAGATTTCCGCTGCTCTACCTAATGCCGCCATCTTGGCTCCGCCCCTCAGATTCTTTTTAACTCACACAAAACATGTATGTCTCTCTGGCATGCTTTCTGGTTACTGAACTGTAACAATGTTAAGATTGAGCCAATTTGGGCTGTGTTAGAACCGTTCTAATTACTTGGTCACTGATGTCTTTAAGATGCTAATCACTGAACCAAAGGCAGGGATATTTGCTGGACTAGTACTAGAATCACTTAAAAGGAAATTTCAGAAAGGAACATGTCTTAGAAACCACTTTCTAAACAGAACGGACACCCTGGTGTATGTTCTTTCCACTGTGGTGTATTTTCAAAGACTATTGTCAAATACTTTTCTCCAGTGATCAAATAGAATGCTGCATATGCAAAGTTTTCCTTGTAATAGCCCCTGCCTTGTAAAAAGCCCCTGGTTTCAGAGTTTTCAGAGTTCCTGTAGCGTGGGGCCCTCTCCCAGGTCCCCAGAGCGGATTCCTGAGGGTACCCCAGTGTGTGAAGATGCCCACTGCATGCTGTCACTGTGGTGAGTGCCCACCTAGCGCTGCCTGGTGAGCACAGGCTCCAGCAGACATGTAGCTGTGGCTGCAGTGCATTGGGAGCTGAGAATCAAGTCCTCCTCTCCCTGAGCCCCCACCCCAGTTCCAGGAGGCTGCTTGCCACAGGGGTAGACACAGACTTTCCACCCAGGCTTCATTTTTGAAACCTAGCTTTGCTTTGGGAACTTCTAATGTCTCCTACTAGCAGTGCCCAGGCAGGGGGCACATTGGCTACCAGAGATGGAGCCTTAGCAAAGTGCCTGGTTTGTGGGGACCTGTGTCTTTAATGACCAGTGCATTGTTTGTCCATCTTCCTGTTCATGTTATTATGTTCTCCCCTGAACAATTTTCCATATTTTCAGATTTTTATTCACTTTTCGAGATATATACATGGAAACCTGAGATGCTAGGAGGTGGGGAATACACACAGGAATAAAGGGGAACCCTGTCCTTCAGCTGTTTATCTTCTAGTAGGAAAAACAGGTAGTTCTCAGCGTAGACGGCAGGAGGCAGGAAAGTGGCCCAAAGGCGAGGGGCCCTGTTTTGGGCAGAGTGGCATCTTGGACAAGGTGACACTCATGTGGAAGCAGGTGTTGAGGGAGGGGCAGAGCATCCTAGATAAAAAGGGGTGAAAGAACATGGGACATTCTGTGGCACTACAGGTGAGCTCATTGGTTAGTAGGTAGAGAATCAGAGAAAATGGACTGAGCCCGAGCCCCAGGAGACGAGGAGCAGGCAGAGGGCATCCTGTCGAGGGCCACTCGCGCTGTTCTTTGACATGCAGATTTCCTCCTATGTGACTGTGGAGGTTTGAAGGACAATGTTGGTTTCTGATGTGGAAAGATCGCCCTGGATCTGTGAGGTAGATTCACCAGGAGAAAAACTTGCTCCCTAGTAGGGAGACTAGTTAGGAGACTGAGACTAGCAGCTGGGGTAGGAGGTGGAGTCTGATCTAGGGGGGGACTGTGGTAGAAGAGGCCACGCTGTGGGAGTGAGGAAAGGCCAGCTAGGGGCAGCTTAGGTGAACGTGTGCACAGAAAGCAGGGGGCCAGCCAGCTGGGTGACAGCAGGTAGGAGGTGGGAGGGGTTGAAATTCAAAATTGATAGAAAGGGATCTAGAATATGTTTTTGACATTGTTCCTTTCTTAAAAAGTTATGAGGGCAGAGTTGAGAGTGGTGCATGTTTGGAGGCTTGTTGCCTGCTGACTTAAAGTTCTTACCCTCAGGGATGAGCCCCAGTCGCGAGGCCTCAGCAGGAGCTGGGGAGGTGATGTGGTGCTTGAGGGGAGCAGGGGTCAGGCCGCTGGGGGAGAGGTCGGGGGAGGTGGCGCTGAGGGACTGCTGCTGCTGTGCTCACTTGTGCGCACGCGCGTGTTCTCCTCCGAGAGAACAGGACTAGAGAAACAGGGTCAGGCTCCATCTGTGGTTGAAAGCTTGCTCAGCATGGGCAGGGGAAAGATCAGAGGCCAGAGACTCAGCAGACACTAGTGAGAACATGTGTCGGGTCCTGGGGTTCAGCAGCCAGGCTGGAAGAGCCTGAACCCAGGAGTTGGGGGGGATTGTGCTTTCTAGCTGTGGTGGCAGTCAGAGCAGCTGAGAAAAGGGAAGGTCTTGACCTTCCAGTGTGTTGGCAGTGAGGAGCCCAGGTAAGCCACGGGGGGCCTGGCGATGTGCCCCCTGCTCTCTGATGTGTATTTGACTAAAAGCCACCATCTGTCAGTCAGCTTGGCACATCCCACCTTTGTGACTGACTCAGAGCAGATGCTTCCTGCTTAGGCTTAAGAACAAGTGTTTGTAATTCTGAAACTATTGTTCTCTGCTGAAGTCAAGTTTAGGCATTTATGGTCACCTAGTGCAAGCATTGGTCTTGAATTTGTGTAGTAATACTGGAAATACTGGCCTGTAAAATAGACCTTTCTCAGCAATTTTTAAAAGTAAAGTTTCATTTCTGGTTGCAAAGGAGATGGGGAGGAGAGGAATGAGGCATTTGTCCAAAGCAGAGCAAGTCTGCTTTTCCAATAGAAAATACCAAACCGATGCGTTTTAAATACGGCTGAATCGATGAGCAGCTGCATTGGTGCTGCAGATCCTGGAAGTGATCAGGCATCCAGGGGGGAACCGACACAAGTGCTCGCAGGCGGCGCTGCTGTGCACCCCCTGTGCGTTACAGTGCGCTGTCTTTGTCTTCTAGTTTTGTGGACTGCAAGGAGTGTGGCCGGAAGATGCATCAGATTTGTGTGCTCCACTATGATATCATCTGGCCTTCCGGGTGAGTGGTTTCCCGTGAACTCAGGAAAGGGGGACCACGCTCTGCAGAGAGGGGAGGGAAGTGCCTGCTGCCACCACCGCATTCCATTCATCGTCACATAGATAGCAGTGGGCTCTAGATCTAAGTGTCACACGTTCGCCAGTTTCAGGGATCGCGGGGCCGGAGCAGTCTGCCTCTTCGCGTCTGTGTGGCGGCTCGAACTGCCAGCAGAGTGCTCTGACGCCGGCTTTCACTGGTCTGCCAACATACACTGTCTGATATAATCTGGTCACACCCCTTATTTTTTGTAGCTTTGTGTGCGACAACTGCTTGAAGAAAACTGGCAGAACTCGAAAAGAAAACAAATTCAGTGCTAAGAGTAAGTCGTGGAAAGGGCTTCCATCTTCTGGCCTGTATGTTTTACGAACTTGTACTCATTTTCCCAGTCTCTTTCTGGTTCTTCTCACACATGCCTTTGGCATTCATTTGCCCAAGGTTTTCATATGTGAGTTTCTTAGCCTTAAAGAGAATCATTGGCTTGATCTTTGTATGACAAGTCAGTGCAATGGTGTATTCTTTTCCTATATTCATATTTAAAATAACTATTATACCCAGCAGTAATATAATAGTAGTATGACTTCATTCGGGTACCCGGACCCGATTCCAGTGTGCGTAAGTATGTGGGAGGGGGTCTTCCTGTGTACAACACCAAGCAGTTCTCGAGCACCAGCAGGGTCTTGGAGAACTCAACTCAGCCCTGACGCTGTGTGCCCAGAGACAGTACCGGGTTTCCAGGCTAAGGGCTCCGTCCCACAAGACTGCCCTCCGCCCCCAACTCCAGGCGCCGGTCGCTGGTCGCAAGCTCCAGGCAGTTCCCTGTGCTTCTGACCTACCGGCTGCAGACTGGAGATTCCCACGACCTCCCCCTTAGGTTTGATTGATTTGCTAGAGCGGCTCACAGAACTCAGGAAAACACTTAGGTTCACCAGTTTAATAAAGGATACAAGTTAACAGCCAGATGAAGAGAGACACAGGGCAAGGCCCCCAGTACAGGAGCTTCTGTGCTCCTGGAGCCTGGGGCCTGGCTCGGGGGCACATGGAGGTGTTCTGGCTCCCCAGGCTTAGGAGCCCTCCCCGACTGAGAAACAGGACCCAATGGATCAGAGAGAGCATTAAGCTCTTGTTAGGGGGGTGGGTGAGTCACTGCGTGGTCATTATTGACTAAATTATTGGCTGATTTAACTTCCAGCCCCTGACCTTGGGTGGAGGTTCAAAAGTCTCATTAATATGACAAAACACCTATTTCACCTTTAAGACTGCAGTGTTTTCAGGAACTGTGGATGAAGACCAGATATACTAGGGAAATATATATTTGGTTATATGAATGACCAAATATGTATTTCTTATGACTCATTATATTATAGTCAGCTTTATGATCAGTCCATGTTTTAGATGAAAGCTTAGAAAGCTTGGATATATGGTAAACTTGGTAAATTCTGAGAGAAGATTTGTCAACACTTCTTTTCAAGTAGTTTAGAAATAAGGGTCCCCCTTACACTTCCCTCCAGCCCCAGCCCCCTCTGATCTCCTGTTTGACCAACACTCTCATCCCTGGGCCCATGTGGCCATTTGCCCGACAGTACACGCTGCCTCTGCTGTTGCGAGGCAGTGACCCTCCCAGTCCCACTGGGAATCAGCCACCTCCACCCAGAACTTGGCAGGAGCCTGGTCAACACAGCAACCTGTTGGGCATGTCACGGCTGCATTTAGGGGCCACTGGTGACTGTACACTGGTGATAAAGCAAGCAATTGATTGCTACTAGAAGTGACCTTCCAAAGATAATCTCAATTTCTTCAGAGAGCATTCTAAAGCATGTAATCTGTAATCTTTGCCGACTCAGTTTCCTTGTACTGGGGACCACCTCCTGCAGCATGGCATTCCTGGGCTGTGCTTCTGCTGAGTTGACAGCAAATCTGAGGAAGAACACCACACACAGCAGCGCTAAAGCCCCCATGCTCAGGGCGCCCCAGCAAGAGCCAGACCATCTACAGAGCTGGAGGTAGAAGAGAAGTGGGCTAGAGGGGAGAGATGGTGGGGGTTGGGGTGTTAGCAGGCAAGGGAAGGCCACTCCATAAGCTTCCAGTCAGTGTTAATTCCATTCAGACTCTTGTTACCAAATCCACAGTTATACTCTAACTTAAGCTCATTCTGGAGAACCTTTTGCAGTATTAATGAACTCACCACCTATTATAATATTTCTCTTTAGATCAGTTTCCCAGCTGAGCCACCATTGACTCTTGTGGCCAGATAATTCTTTGTTATGGGGGCTGTCTTGTGCTTTATAAGATTTTAGCAGCATCCCTGGTCCATCCAAAATGTCTCCAGATGTTAACAAATGCACCGTGGGCACCATGGCCCCAGGTGAGAACTGCTGCCTTCAGAGGCCCATTCTGAGGTCATGGAAGCAGTCAGCAACTTAGAAGCACTTTCCTGGGCCAGAGCCTCCGTGACCAAAACAGAAGAACTGCCAGGAGAGCTAGCCGCCAGCGGTGGGGGGGGGGGGGGGGGGGGGGGCAGTCGGCTCAGGGGGCGCTGGTGGGAGAGCTGGCCCGGCCCCACCGTCAGTGACAGAGAATGACAGAGAATGAGGGGCCCTGGCTGGATACACTGTAGAACATTCACTTAATAGAGAGCAGGAAAGGTTTGTACGTGCATCAGCATGGCCTTGCACGTACCTGTAGGATACAGGAAAGGGTGCCTCGTTCTTATTTGCGCTGATGGTGTGAGATCTCTTCAGCTGGCTAGTCACCAAGTGACACTTGACTGCTGATCATCCCGCCACAATCCCTCCCTAGTTCCCAGTACACACAGGTCAGCTGGTGTGGGTGCAAGGGGAAAGGGACCTCAGATGCCTCTGAGATCAGAGTAAGAGAGTATTTTACTATGTTAGGTTAGGAAAGCCTTCCTAAAGGTAGAGCCCAGAGGTCAGAAAGCAGAGGGCCTGCCATGCGTGGTGGGTGAAGATGCACATTGAATGCCGTTTGGGGAGGGGAGGACAGTTTAGGTTTTAGGCTGAATAATTCCACTTTTATGCACATATCCTACAAAGATCTTTGCACGTATGCATAAGGGGGAATGTGCAGGGATGGCCACTGCAGCAGGTGGAGCGGGGGGCGGGGAGAGGCACACCGTGAGAGAACGGAAGCAGGCCCCTCTGTGGAAAACTGGGGCGTGGTCTGCCTCCCTGGTCTGGTCTGCCTTCAGGGCTCTTCTGCCATTTTTGGTTAGAAAAAGATGCAAATATCTGGGCGCTTAATGGCAGTTTTCAGTATGTGAAGGGCCTGAGATTCTGGAGTCTGTCTTTCCCTTATTGAAACGCTCACCTGGCAGGACAGACCAGGTAGGTCCCTTCTGGATTTGGAGATCGTTGATCCTTAGAGTATTACACTCCGCTGAAGGAAAAGGTGGATTCGGTGGCCTTGGCTGCTACCTCCACGACCCTTCCGAACCCTCTCACCTGCTTGCTCTGAACTTGCCAGGGCTGCAGACCACACGACTGGGAAATCATTTGGAAGACCGAGTCAACAAGTTTTTGCGGCGGCAGAATCATCCTGAAGCCGGGGAGGTCTTCGTCCGAGTGGTGGCCAGCTCAGACAAGACTGTGGAGGTCAAGCCCGGGATGAAGTCACGGTCTGTGTGCCGGCATCCCGGTGTTTCCTAAGCACTGTCCCAGCAGTCACCCCACCTGACTGACAAAAGCCCCGCTTTCTGGCAAGCCTTGAGTTTGCATGATTTCAGGGCTTTTCAACAGTTAGCATGCAGCCAGCCCTTCTCTCAGTGTCCCAGATTCATTAGGGGAGGTCACATTCCCAGTCACATCCAAGAGTGTCACAAAGAATGGAATCACAGGTCCAACCTGCCCCGGGGCCAGGAGAAGAGGTGACTCGGCCTTCAGTTCCCATGCGCCGAGTGGGTGTAGAGCAGCAGGTCTCAGTTGTAAAGCACACAAGTGTAAATATCAGCCTCTCGGCTTCTATTTCAGGTTTGTGGATTCTGGGGAAATGTCTGAATCTTTCCCGTATCGAACCAAAGCACTTTTTGCTTTTGAGGAAATTGATGGAGTGGATGTGTGCTTCTTCGGGATGCACGTCCAGGAGTACGGCTCTGACTGTCCCCCTCCAAACACAAGGTAGCCTCCGTGTCCTTCGGGCCGTGTGTCCCTGGGCATGGAGGGTGACAGATGAGGCTGCACATGTCTTAAATGTGTCTTAGAACTGGGTTCAAATAAAATAAGCCACATGTAACGGAGCTAGTTAGTTTAGCTTTCCACTCAGCCCTTGGGAAGTAAGGGTTTGCTGACACTTCAAGCGTGCTTGTTTTGTGAGTGCACGTGGGCCCCTGTCCTGGGCTTGCTGTAGTCTCTGTCTCACCTGGAGCAGGTACACTGGAGAAGGGTGGGGCGCTCCGCCCTCCCGCCCTGGGGGCTGGCGTTCACTGCTGCCCCTGTGAAAGTGAAGCCCCTCGCCAGGAGCTGCTTTGTGTTCATTCCCTGCCCTGGGTGAGAGGCATCAGAGTGGCTGCCTCGGTTTGCGCCCTCCCACCCTGGTTCCCCAGTGTGCCATGCTGCAGCCATGTAGCTCCATGCAACACTGAATCCCATTCGTGAGTTGGTAGCAGCAGTTGCTGATGTCAGTTTTCTTATGTCGTGTTTGTGGCCAGTAAATGCTATCAGAACAAAGTTTATTTCTTAAGGTTTTTTGGGAGTGCTACTGTTCGGTTTCAAGTTTGGGGGTACACTGAACTTTCCATTAATTTCTCCCTGCTCCACCCCAGGCGTGTGTACATATCTTATCTGGACAGTATTCATTTCTTCCGGCCCCGATGCCTCCGGACAGCTGTTTACCATGAGATCCTTATTGGATATTTAGAATATGTGAAGAAATTGGGGTGAGTTAAATTCAAATTATTCAGAACTAATAAAAAAAAACTCCAGTTTTAATTTTCACTGTATATTAAGTTGTATGTGTTTTTAGCATCCTTTGATTCAGAAAGACCCCTTTCCAGATGCTGTCTTGGGGTTCTTCCATGTACATATGCTTTCCCTGCCTTCTTTATTCTTTTCATTTTTTTTTTTCATTCTAGTTTTTTTTTAGCTTTATTAAGATATATTTTGTATATTTTAAGATTTGCCAATTTCTGACATACACTTCAGTGATTTTTAGTAACTCTACTGGGTGGTGTGACCATCACTGTAAAGGAATTCCAGAACATCGTCCCCTGCCCCACAAGACCCCCATGCCCGTTTGCTGCTAATCTCTGTTCCAGCCCTGCCCCCAGTGACTACTAATCTCCTTGCTGTCTCCATAAATTTGCCTTTTCTGGGCATTTGGTATTAGTGGAATCCTATAGGATGTCATCTCTTGCATCTGACTGCTTTCTCTTTCTCTTTTTATTTTCTAGAATTTGAAAAAAATTAGAGGCATTTGATTGAAGTGTCTTGAATAGAATGACGAGATTTATTTTGACTTTAATCCCTTAGAATAACCAGTGCTTTTCCAGTGTGCAGCAGAAAGTAGATAGGAAATTCAGTGTGTCCCTGGGTATAAGCCGTTTGGTAAACCTGATGAGTTACTGTCTCCCCGGGCTCCCTGAGGCTCGTCGGGCTCCCCTGCAGCCTCGGCCCCTGTCCCATGAGCACACCCCAAGAGGGAAGTATCTTAGGTCTGATTTCCAGGCATGCATCTGCACACTCCAGAGGTTTGCCCTCTCCCACACTCCTTGCACACTGGTTTGGAACCTATCTGAGTGAGGCTCTTATACATTCTGCCGCAAGTGTTGTGCTAATTTCTTTGTTTCTTTTTTCATTTATTTCTATTCTTGCTTTGGTCCCTGTTCTTTGGCTGTTACCCCTGGGAGGCAGGGACAATTTCACTTGCCACTTTGGTCTGAATTATATATGTGTATGTCCTGTAGGTATGTAACGGGACACATCTGGGCCTGTCCCCCAAGTGAGGGTGATGACTACATCTTCCATTGCCACCCCCCTGATCAAAAAATCCCGAAACCAAAGCGCCTGCAGGAGTGGTACAAGAAGATGCTGGACAAGGCATTTGCGGAGCGCATCATCCACGACTACAAGGTACCCGTGTGGAGCAGGGCTGCGAGGTGGCTGTGTCCCCACCCAGTTAGCTGCCTCCACGTGGCGTCCTCTCACGGGCACCCATGTTAGAATGAGATTCACTTAGAAGGGTTAGAAAGCGGGAGAAAGGGAGAGTGTGAGCTGGAAACGTAGGAGCCTCTTCCCAGCAGTCTGTCGGGATTTCTGGCTGGTGGTCAGAAAGCAGTCTCACCACGGTGCGCATTTTGGGGGTGATCTTGGCAGCCACGCACTCCGCAGCTGCACCGCCTTGGCCCCAGGGGCGCCACGTGGGCCCTCCTCTCACTGCCCCGTTGTCCCTCCAGGACATTTTCAAACAGGCAACTGAAGACAGGCTCACCAGTGCCAAGGAGCTGCCCTATTTTGAGGGTGACTTCTGGCCCAATGTGCTGGAGGAGAGCATCAAGGAGCTGGAGCAGGAGGAGGAGGAGCGGAAGAAGGAGGAGAGCACTGCGGCCGGCGAGACCCCCGAGGTACAGCCCGTCTGCGGGGGGCGGTGGCGGGGCGGGGCGTGTGCCCCAGGTCTGCGGCGGCATTTCCTCCCACAGCCTCACCCTGTCCCTGCCTGCCGCGGGTCGGGCCCGGCGCCTGAGGGCGCAGCCCACCCTGGATGCTGGGCGAGCAGAGGTGCGGGCGCTGGAGGTGCAGCACCCAGCAGAAGGTGGATGGGCAGGGCCTGCTCTGGCTTCTCTGGGCAAGACGGGTGGGGCCGAGACAGGGAGAGGACGGAGGGCGTCCTGCAGGGGAGCCCAGGCCAGATGCAGGTGGGGGCGGCATGTCCCAGGCCAGGAGCCATCAGCTGATGGAAACGCTACCAGAGGGGAGACGCTGGTCGCCAGGCCTTGTTCATGCGCTCCGTTACAAGCAGCCTCCCCGACCCCCGCACCCCCAGTTCTGCATTAGATGTTTGCATTCAGGCACTCACCCTGCTCCCCAGGCCCTGCGTGTACAGGCCCCATCCTAGCGTACAGTGAGACTGAAGAAAACTCCATCACTGCCCTCGGTGGGGGGGTGGGGGGCGTTTTGAGTAGGAAAAACAAACTAGGAACCCGCCTGGTGCACTGAGACAGCAGTGGGGCTGCGGAGAAAGGGAGCCCAGGCGGGAGGGAGGAGGGTGGGCGGGGCTGGCTTCCAAATGGAGAGGGACCTGGTGAGGACAGGAGCACCAAGATCCGGAGCAGGAGAACCGTTCAGCCCAGCTGGGAGCACGTGTACTGTGCTCCAGGGCACTTACGACAAGGTGATGGTGGATTTAGTTGGATTTGTGGTCCTGGAGGCAATGAGAGAAGGACTGCAGTCATGTTTTTAGAGCAGCCACCCCAGAACTCGGGGGCAGATCTTTGTGGCCTGTAAGGAGAGGCCTCGCTCAGGGCCACCTCCGGTGTCCGGGGCCTGAGCCACTGACGCAGCATGGCTGCCTCGCCCGGGGAAGAGGAGGGTAGAGCGCACTGTGGGAAGAAGGTGAGAACTGGCCGCGGCACGTTGACATTCAGACGCCTGTTAATGTCAGTGTTGAAGAGGAGCAGAGCTTGGGCAGCTTGTGACTGGTGCTTGGGCCGGGGTCTGGGATGCTGGGTGGGGCCACCGCTTTGCATGCACACACGACACACTGTGTGGCTGCTGCATGCCAGGCAGCAAGCTTTAGTGTGTCTATCGCCAGACAGTATCCGTAGTCCTTCCCGGAACGGAGAACACAGCCAAGGATGCGATAGGCATCTGTGTCACAGGCGGGTCCCAGGAAGAGCTCAAGGGCTCGTGTCGGTTTTGACTTCTTTTGCTGGGGCCTCCCTGGAGGCCTGATCCTTCATCTGACCCCCGACCACACCCCGGGGCGGTGGGTGATTCGGGCCTGGAGAAACTCCTCAAGGGAAGACAGGAGGACAAGGGGATCCCACACTCGAGCCTACCTTTGAAGTGTGAGCCAATTTTTAGTGGAAAGTAAGAATTCCAAGCAGGAGGAGACCAGAGCTGATTTGTGGGCCCCAATGTCCCTCTACCACTGCCTGATGCTAGGCACAAGAGGCGGCCGGAGTCAGTGGGAATCCAGGCCTTGGGGGGCGTGGGGGCAGTAGGTTCGGTCAGCAGAGGAAAGTGCGCCTGCTGGCAGGGCTTCCCTGCTCCGTAGAGAGAGGCTCTGAGGGGGACACAGGCCCCAGTGGGGGTCTCATCCAAGGAGGACAGGCCTTGCCTCTGGCCTGATAGCTGTGGGGCCGCCTGAAAGTAGAAGCAGATGAGGGCTGCTGACTGGTGTGCAGTGGGCAGGGCAGGGCAGGAGGCAGAGGGTGAGTCTCTGTTCTGTGTCCAGTTCATGGAGGCGGCGGGCGCTCTCCTTCCCCGGGCCCACCCAGGCCTTACGGGGACCTGGTTCCTCAGTGTGGGCACTGGCTTTGCTTATGCATGATGCTTGGGGTGGAGCACTACCTTGCCATTGAAGCATTATTTGGCTGTATTTTCTAAACTTTGTGCAGCAAATCTATTTCTTTTTTAACTTGAAAAGAATAGGCTTTATTTTTCAGAACAGTTTAGAAGCTTACAGAGAACTTGAGCAGATGGTGCAGCGCCCGGTGCTTGCGTCGGTGCCTCACATTTGTTACAGGTCTGAACCATGTTGATGCCTTATCATTACCCCGTCTGTAGTCATTCAGTGTCCTTTTCTGATCCGGGTCCACGTGCCATCCAGCGTGGCCAAGCTGCCCTAGACACTCCTGCCTGCGCCCAGAGAGTCTCTTCTGTCTCTCTCTTTCCCTCTCTCGCCTCTTGTTAAAGACGAAGTTCTGGACCCAACCTGATGAACTTTTCTACCTTGCAGCCTAAGTGACTTAAGAGCCTGAGTTTGTCCCAGACTGGATCGTTTTCACTGAGGGCCGAGACCCCCCTTAAACTGAGGCCAACTAAAGCACTAACCTGGGTTTCAGGCCCGAGCAGCCGTGGGGTGGGAGCAGGATCCGGGCTACGTGCTGCCCTCAGCTGGGGCCTCGTGTGGGTTCTGGAAGCCCTGCTCCTGCCGGGTAGCAGCTTCTGCTGGCGCCACGCTTGCGTCTCCTGCACTATGTATGTCTAGAGCCGTTGGCAGGCATGCCAGATGGGGCCTGGGGCTGCGGGTGGAATGATGTGGAATGATGGAGAAGGGCTTTCATTCAGTTGGTCGTTAGATGCTGAACTAGCCCCTGGGCGTACTTCTCCCTTGAGGGGGATCGTGCTGCAGTGGCTGGCCTGGCACAGGCAGGGCTGGATTTGTGTCTGTGTCGTCTTGGCACCCGCTCTCTCAGCGACTTATGAAGGCAGCAGTTTGCTCCCAGCTGCGCAGGTAGGGCCTCTCCATGGTCTCCTGCCTGGGGCAGGGCTCCTGGGAGCCTCCCCATGGCCTAGGTGTGGAGGAGGACCAGACTCATCTGATGAAGGCACATGCTGTTGCAGGGCAGCCAGGGCGACAGCAAGAATGCCAAGAAAAAGAACAACAAGAAAACCAACAAGAACAAAAGCAGTATCAGCCGAGCCAACAAGAAGAAACCCAGCATGCCCAACGTGTCCAACGACTTGTCCCAGAAGCTCTATGCCACCATGGAGAAGCACAAAGAGGTGGAGACGGGGGGCGGGAGGGGGAGGGGAGGAGGAGCCCCTGCCGGCTCTGGAGGACCCACTCAGTTCCACCCCGGGAGCCAGGGTCCTGGACGGGAACCTAGGCTGCGGCATCCGCTCGCTGTGGCCCGGACTCGGGCTGCAGTGGCCCCGCCTACCGGGACCAGCCCTGCCTCCTCTCCGCAAGGCTGACGTGCCCCTCTCTGCACTTCTTCCCACAGGTCTTCTTTGTGATCCACCTCCACGCCGGGCCCGTCATCAACACGCTGCACCCCATCGTCGACCCTGACCCTCTGCTCAGCTGCGACCTCATGGATGGGCGGGACGCCTTCCTCACACTTGCCCGAGACAAGCACTGGGAATTCTCATCCTTGCGCCGGTCCAAGTGGTCCACACTGTGCATGCTGGTGGAGCTGCACACCCAGGGCCAGGACCGCTTTGTCTACACCTGCAATGAGTGTAAACACCACGTGGAGACGCGCTGGCACTGCACCGTGTGCGAGGTAAGGCCTTCCAATAGGCTCTCCTGGGGAGGACTTCCCAGCCCCATGCACCCAGAAGTAGCACCCAAGAGAGCTGCTCTCTGGAAACCCAGGCCTGTTCTTCAGCGCTGTTGGGTGCGCTTGGGAAGAAACAGGTATGGCCTCTGCTGCTCCTTAATGCTCAGGCTTCCTGGACTAGCCAGGGGAGTGGACGCAGTGGGTCTGGGTGCCATTCACAAGGGCAGAGGAAGGAAGGAAAGGGGAACAGTGTCCAGCAATGCGTGCCCAGAGCCTTGGGCAGAGGATGGGCCGTAGGGCACGTACATGTGTGAGCTGTGTACCTGCACACACGTGTCAGACAGCAGGTGGGGAAGGGGCAGAGGCATCCCCGAAGAGGGCAGGCTTTGGGTGGGTGGGGGACACAGCAGTCCTTGGCATCTGCCGGCCTCTTCTGGGGTGTCTGCTCGTGCGGGGCCACATGCTGATGCCAGCTTGTCTCCTGTCCTCATCTGCAGGATTACGACCTTTGCATCAATTGCTACAATACGAAGAGCCACACCCACAAGATGGTGAAGTGGGGGCTGGGCCTGGACGACGAGGGCAGCAGCCAGGGAGAGCCACAGTCCAAGAGTCCCCAGGAGTCGAGGCGCCTGAGCATCCAGCGCTGCATCCAGTCGCTGGTGCATGCCTGCCAGTGCCGCAATGCCAACTGCTCGCTGCCGTCCTGCCAAAAGATGAAGCGGGTTGTGCAGCACACCAAGGGCTGCAAGCGCAAGACCAATGGGGGCTGCCCAGTGTGCAAGCAGCTCATCGCCCTGTGCTGCTACCACGCCAAGCACTGCCAGGAGAACAAGTGCCCTGTCCCCTTCTGCCTCAACATCAAACACAAGCTCCGCCAGCAGCAGATCCAGCACCGCCTGCAGCAGGCCCAGCTCATGCGCCGGCGGATGGCCACCATGAACACCCGCAACGTGCCTCAGCAGAGCCTGCCCTCCCCTACCTCAGCACCGCCCGGGACCCCCACACAGCAGCCCAGTACGCCCCAGACACCACAGCCCCCCGCCCAGCCCCAGCCCTCACCCGTGAGCATGTCGCCGGCTGGCTTCCCTAGCGCGGCCCGAACTCAGCCCCCCACCACGGCATCCGCCGGGAAGCCTGCCGGCCAGGTGCCGGCGCCACCACCCCCTACCCAGCCGCCCCCCGCAGCTGTGGAAGCTGCGCGGCAGATAGAGCGTGAAGCCCAACAGCAGCAGCATCTGTACCGGGTGAACATCGGTGGCGGTATGGCCCCTGGGCGCACGGGCATGGTGGCCCCGGGCACCCAGATGGCCCCCGTGAGCCTCAGTGTGCCACGGCCAGGCCAGGTTGGGGCGCCCGTGGTCCCCAGCCTGCCGCCTGGCCAGTGGCAGCAGGCACCCGTTCCCCAGCAGCAGCCGATGCCCGGCATGCCTAGGCCCGTGATGTCCATGCAGGCCCAGCCGGCCGTGGCCGGGCCACGGATGCCCAGCGTGCAGCCTGCACGCAGCATCTCGCCTGGCGCCCTGCAGGACCTGCTGCGGACCCTGAAGTCGCCCAGCTCCCCACAGCAGCAGCAGCAGGTGCTCAACATCCTCAAGTCGAATCCCCAGCTGATGGCCGCGTTCATCAAGCAGCGCACGGCCAAGTACGTGGCCAGCCAGCCTGGCTTGCAGCCCCAGCCGGCCCTGCAGCCCCAGCCTGGCCTGCACCAGCAGCCGGGCCTGCAAAACCTGAGTGCCATGCAGGCTGGTGGGCCGCGGGCCGGTGTTCCTCCTCAGCAGCAGGCCATGGGGGGCCTGAACGCCCAGGGCCAGGCTCTGAACATCATGAGCCCGGGGCACAACCCCAGCATGGCGAGCATGAATCCGCAGTACAGGGAGATGCTGCGGAGGCAGCTGCTCCAGCAACAGCAGCAGCCGCCGCCACCCGGGGGTGCGGGCATGGCAGGCGGCATGGCGGGGGGCATGGCCGGCCACAGCCAATTCCAGCAGCCACAAGGACCGGGCGGCTATGCCCCTGCCATGCAGCAGCCACGCGTGCAGCACCTGCCTATGCAGGGCGGCTCTGTGGGCCAGATGGCAGCTCCGCTGGGGCAGCTCGGCCAGATGGGGCAGCCTGGGCTGGGCACGGACAGCACCCCCAGCATCCAACAGGCCCTGCAGCAGCGGCTCCTTCAGCAGCAGCAGATGAAGCAGCAGCTGGGGTCCCCGGGCCAGCCGAACCCCATGAGCCCCCAGCAGCACATGCTCTCAGGACAGCCTCAGGCCGCGCACCTCCCTGGCCAGCAGATGGCCACGTCCCTCAGCAGCCAGGTCCGGTCTCCGGCCCCAGTCCAGTCCCCGCGGCCCCAGTCCCAGCCTCCACATTCCAGCCCATCGCCACGGATACAGCCCCAGCCTTCGCCTCACCACGTCTCCCCCCAGACTGGCTCCCCCCACCCGGGACTCGCAGTCACCATGGCCAGCTCCATAGATCAGGGACACTTGGGGAACCCCGAACAGAGTGCGATGCTCCCACAGCTGAACACCCCCAACAGGAGTGCGTTGTCCAGTGAGCTGTCCCTGGTCGGCGACACCACAGGAGACACCCTAGAGAAGTTCGTGGAGGGTTTGTAGCATTGCGAGAGCACCACTTTTTTTCCCCTTTCATCTTGGACCTTTTGTACTGAAATCCAGGCATCTAGGCTCTTTTTATTCCTAGATGGAACTGCTACTTCCACGCCATGGAAGGGTAGATTGCTGTTTAAAGAAACAATACAAAGAATATATTTTTTTGTTAAAAACCAGTTGATTTAAATATCTTTGTTTTTTTGTTTTTGTTTTTTTGTTTTGGGGGGAGGGGGGTTTGTTTGGATTCTTTTTGTCGTCATTGCTGGTGACCCATGCCTTTTTTTAACGGGAAAAACAAGTTCATTATATTCATATTTTTTATTTGTATTTTCAAGACTTTAAACATTTATGTTTAAAAGTGAGAAGAAAAATAATATTCAGAAACTGATTCTTGAAATAATGCAAGCTTATAATGTATCCCGATAACTTTCTGACGTTGCGGGAAGATTTTTCTATGGTGAACTCTGTGGGCGCTCTCCAAGTATTACCCCTGGACGATAGGAATCGGCTCCTGCGTGCACACATGTACACCCACACACATCTATCTATACCTGCTGGCTTAAGCCAGACTCTTGTCTTGCAGATGTAGAAATTGTTGCTTTGTTTCTCTGATAAAACTGGTTTTAGACAAAAAATAGGGATGATCACTCTCTTAGACCATGCTAATGTTAATAGAGAGAAGCATTCTTTTCTTTCTTCTATGTGAAACTTGAAATGAGGAAAAGCAATTCTAGTGTAAATCATGCAAGCGCTATAATTACTATAAATAAGAAAATTCAAGAAGATTCAATCACTGTATAGAATGGTAAAATACCAACTCATTTCTTATATTGTTAAATAAACTGTGTGCAACAGACAAAAAGGGTGGTCCTTCTTGAATTCATGTACATGGTATTAACACTTAGTGTTTGTTTGGGTTTTTTTGTTATGAAAATGCTGTTTTCAACATTGTATTTGGACTATGCATGTGTTTTTTTTCCTCATTGTATATAAAGTACCGCTTAAAATTGATATAAATTACTGAAGTTTTTAACATGTATTCTGTTCTTTAAGATCCCTGTAAGAATGTTCAAGGTTTTTATTTATTTATACATATTTTTGGAGTCTGTTCTTTGTAAGGCATGATTCTGGTGGTTTGCTCATAGAAAAGAGGCAGGGGCCATGGTCCTGGTGGCCATGTGGGTGGCCGCTGGGCTCAGCCAAGGCCTGGAAGGCCCTGTCCAGCAACGGGAGCGACCAGCTCAGTGACGGCTGCATATGCCGAGTGCTCACAGGACCCTCCCTCCAGTTAAGGATACGGATGGGTCTGAAACATCACTTTGTCTCCAGCCCACCTCCCCCATTGTAGCCAACCCACCCACCCAAGAAACCGTAGTAGGGAGGGTGCAGTGTCACCCCCTCCATAGACAAATCCCAGAATTGATATAAAGGGTGCTCCGGCAGACTGCAGGTGGTTCCCTCTCCCCCAAAACCATGGGTTCAGTGGGGAAGATGCTGCCATGCATCACGTCTCACTGCCACCTCCGATGCTGGGCTGGGCAGTTAGCACCAGGCCCCTTGTTCTCTGTGCTCCTCTAGAAACAGCAAGGTGCTGTCCCCAAGGCCACTGAGGGGAGCCGGCTGGAGTGCCGGCCACCAGCCCTCCTGTGGTCAAGGTGGCCTCCAGCTTCAGGGACCTGTGCACTCAGCCATGAGCCCACCCCTCCCCTCCGGGTCCAGCGTCAGGTGCCCTAACGGGGTGACACTGGAGTCCCTGAATGCTGTCAAAATCACATCTGAGAGGGGAAGAACTGATGGGAATCCTCTGGGTGGCCTGCTCCTCCCGGGGCCCCGTGAGCTGAGCCTTGTCCCTTGTCCCCGACCAGAGTGGTCTAGATTGACAGTTGTGGTAAACTCAGACCATGGCCAAAATAGCTTTCCTTTTGGCCCTATTCACAGGTATTTTCAAAATACTTAGTTTACAGACCTAAATTTGAGGACTTCTGGAATTTACTTTTAGCACAGAACTCTGAATCTTGAATTTTAATGTAGATGGATTAAACCAGGTAAGGGCACCATCCCAGCACTGCCACCCAACCTCCATCTCAACCCCATTTCCATGAGGGAGAGCAAGGCCACGGCCTTCTGGAGACTGTCGGCTGTCCTTGCTCAGCCTGCTCAGTTCTTGCCTTCAGGACCCTCTTCTCCACCATGTTCAGTCAGAAGAGGGGAGCGCCTTAGGGTCCTGGAGGAGCAGCCCCGGGCTCACACTCAGGATGTACAGTCCCTTAATGTGGTCGGTGGGTGGAGAAGAGGGGGGATCTTTTTCAGTTCATCCTGGAATCCAAAACTTTCTGTACCCATCTCATCCTCTGCAGGTGCCCAAGGATGTGACCAAAGGTGTGGTCTGTGGATGCTAATAACCCTGCACTTAGATTAAAGAAATTTCTGTAAGAGCCGGAAAGCCCTAACGCTGTGTCTCATGCTGTACACTTGAGAGGAGAAGAAAAAAGTCCTATATTTGTGATCAAAAAGGAATCGTGAAATGTGCTGGTGTTTATAATAAAAGCTGGTAAAACTGCTTGGATTCAAAGATGGTTCCGGCTGGCTAACAACCCTGAGAATTGGCGTAGCAGGCAGTCACGTTAAGACTGAAGGGGCTGGTTGAGTTCATCCGCTGCATGTGTTTGATGATGCTTCTGAGAACTGAGCATGTCACACAGGGTGCAGCTTCTGGAGAACAGGGTGGGGTGGCTAATGCTTCTGAGAACTCAGGCTGAGGCATGTAACTTTCTCCTTTTGATCGTTAGAAAATGGAACACGAGATCTCATTTAAGCAGAAATGTGCTGTTTGCACTGCATGGGAAAACACGCCACTATGAAAATGGAGAGTCTTTCCATGCAGCTGCTGAGTGCTGGCTGGTAGCCAGCATGCCACCAGGAAGTACTGCATGCAAAGATGGTGCCTTGCCAGAAGTGGGCGCTACAGCCACTGCCTGGGCTAGTAGATGCACAGGAGTGTGTAGGCGTGGGGAGAAAGGCTACTGCGCCCAGAATGTTCTGTGTTCATTCCACTCATTACTCGGTATAGTTTCATTGTGCCCAGTCAAGAGTGAGATGCTCCAGTGAATGTAGCAAAGGCAAGACTGTGGAACTTTGAGTAGATGGGGAAGGAAGTGGTGCTTTCAACGTGCTTATGCCCTTCTATGGAAGGTTTACTAGGATGTATTGGCTATGATACCACTGTGAGGTTACCCCAGTAAATGGAAAAATTCAAAGGGCGTTAACTGCGTGGACACCTTGACTAAGGAACTGGTGCAGGATGAGACGATTAGGCAAACAGGAGTGGGCAGTCAGGCCCAAGGAAGTGAGGGCCAGAGGCATCTCTGAGGTTGAGGAACAGAGTCCATCTCCCACCTCGGCCTAGAGCGAGCTCCCTAAACTCTGTTTTCCTGTCTGAATACAAGAGTTGCATGTGGAAACAAGTGCTGTTTAAATGTATTACTAATTCCTTTGCCCTGGCTATAAAGAGGGGAGCAGATGCAGTGACCAGCAGCCAGGGGCAGACCTGGGCCTCCCAGCCGCAGCCATACCCTACCCGTGCTCAAAAGGAGCAGCCCCCAGCTGTGAAAAACATCCTCCACACCTGCCTCCCCTCCCTACTCCAATGTGGAGTTGGGCGGCACTACATCATAATTCCTAAAATTTCACAGACCGTGGAAACCAAGTCCCTACAGAGGACGATACTCTGATACTCAGCCTGCCTGTATCTGGTGCCCCCAGTTTACTGTGGCATCAGAGAAAAAGAAATGATGCCCATATCCAGCAGCCCTAGTGCACACACACAGCGTTCAATTCCTGCTGTACGAGACCTTTAAGAGGGTCCATGAAATTGGGAGAAAATCCCATCAACCCTGGGACCTATGCAGGCCAAGAAACACCTACAACCCCAAGCCTGTCCTCTGCTAGGAGTTCCAAGGATGTTGTCCAGTGAGGGGAAAGAAGGTAGACACTTGTCCAGAAGTTCGTGCTTTGAACAAAGAAATGAAGAAAGGAAGGCAGTTGAATAGTTTTAAAGTGGGCATTTTTTAAAATGGTGAAATACACAATAACAAAGTTAACCGTCTTAATCATTTGTTCAGTGGTATTAAACACATACATTCATACTATTGTGCAGCCACCACCACCATCCTTTCCAGAACTCTCTTCATCTTGGAAAACTGAAATTCTGCACCCATTAAACACCAACTCCCCCTCCCCACTCCCCACAGGCCCTGGCAACCATCATTCTATTTCTGTTTCTGTGAGTTTGACCGCTCTACCTACCTTCTGTTAGTGCACCTCACAGTATTTGTCTTTCTGTGGCTGGCTTCTCTCACACAGCATGAAGCCCTCAAGGTTCATCCGTGCTGTGGCAGTAGGTCAGACTTCCTGCATTGGCATAGTGTTCCATTGGAGATTTAAGCCGCCTTTCACTGATCTGGCCATCTTTGCATCACTTCTGCTTTCTGACTGCTGTGAAAAACGAAGCCAGCATTTTTCATGGCCCTCAGCTCACCCCAGGGGAAGGCAGTGACTTCTGGAGAAGGAACGGGCAGCCTCACAGTGGCGGTCAGAAGACCCAGCCCTCTGCTGCTTTCTCTGCTGTCTCCAAGCAAGGCCCTGCCAGTCTTAAGACCATCAACTCAAGTACATCTGCATCCAATCATCTGTGGCCAAGGATAGGCCAAGAAAGGACACACGGCTCTGGCAAGGTGTGACTGGAGCCTGGTAGGTTTGCCCTCCACAGAGCCTGGGTTCTGCCTGGCTCAGCAAAGAGCTCCCCCTCCCCCATCCTTAACTGAAGGGTTCCCTCTTTCCTTGCCGAATACCACTTCCCCTTCCTGAAATAAAAAGGCTCCCTAAGCTCTACCTAGTGCCCCATAGACCAATGTGTCAGCTCTCACAGAAGAGGTGATTTCCTGAATGGAGTGAAAAACGAATGCAGTGTGAGGCTGAGACCCCTCAGTTCCCCGAGGAACTGCACTGACATCGCGGGAATGACCACGCCTGGGACAGGCTCCGATTGTCTGGAGTGTGAAGCAGGTGAGGCAGGGCTCCGGTTATGCTGGGCCTGGAGGCGGAGGCGGAGGGGTTTGGAATTGATTAGAAGTGTGCAGGGAAACCATTGGAGGACCCTGACTGAGGAGTGCATGACCCAGCTGCGTTGCATTGAATGGGGGGCCTTAGGAGGCTGCTGGTCTCCTAGGTAAGAATCTGCCACCCCTTTTACATTCCCTTTCTCAGTTGCTTAAGCCTGGAACTTGGGGCTCATCCATGTTTTCGGCTGGAAGCGTACCCTGACACGTCCCCTGCCTACGCCTCAACGGTGTCCAGGCCCCACTGGGGACACTCTCCGGGCTCCTGGACTCCCAGCACGACGAGGGAGCCCCGTTCTGCTGGTGGGGTGTGCTCCCGAGCTCATTTCGTGTAGACTTGTCGACCTGAAGTCGGCCTGTCCCTGACTGGCCTCCGCGGCTGGAAGAGACTGACTGCCGGCGGGGGGGACCGGCAGCCTGGAGCTCCCAGACCCCACAGGAGTTGACGGCTGTCCGCGGCCGCCACCTCCGCACACCCTTCCGGGTGGGAGCGAGTATCTGCTCACTTACGGATGCACAAACTGAGGCCCCGTAGGTGGGCGAGGGCCTGGGACAGCCAAGCACGCAAGGCCCATCGCCCTTGACAACGCGACAGAAGGTCACGGACGTCCCCGCCCCCAGGCCCGACTGTCCCCGCGTGGGCAGACTGCGACCGCGCCACGGATGCCTCGGCCCAGCGACCGGCGCAGGCAGCGGACCGGGCAGCCCGGCGCGTATCGTTACGTCACCGCGCCGCACCGGAGGAAGGCCCCGCCCCCGTTGCGTGGGCCGCGCGGGCCGCTGGGGAGGCCAGACATGGCGCGTGAGCTGCGGGCGCTTCTCCTGTGGGGCCGCCGTCTGAGCGCGCCGACGCTGGCTGCTTCCTCGCGAGGTGAGGGGCGCAGGGCAGCGGGTGGGGACGCGCGGGGACCACAAGCCTCTGGCCTCCGTGGGAGGCGCGGCGACGGCACCACCTCGCCTGGCTTTGGCGATTCTGTGAAGTGTATGCGCCAGGCGCGCCGCGAGCAGCGGACCCCGAGCGCTCAGCGCGGCCTGGGCGCACCTGGCCCAGCTCGGCGCCGTGCCGCCCTCGTTTACCACCCAGGTGACGCGGCTGACGAGCCCGGCGCGCGTGACTCCTGCCGGGCTCCTCGCCCCTGGGGCGGAAGGCGCGTGTACGCCGGGAACGGACTTCACCCGGGAGACCGCTCCCGTCCCTCCGGTGCGCGTTCATCCCTCCCCGTCCCCAAGTAGTTTTACGCACGAGTAAATGCATAAGCCACCTGGTCACTCGTTCATTCGACACAAAACAGTGCCCACTCCGCCCGGCAGCGAGCCTAACCGAGAACCGGCACCCTGCGCCCTCGTATAGCCCGTGGGTTCTGGGGTCCTCGCCGCCGTATTCCTGGGACCTGGAATTGGTGGGTGCTCAAGTGTTGGGGGAAAAAAATAAGGCCTTAATCTCTGTTCTCTTACTTTCCAGTCGTAAGTAACCACGGGTGAACGACCTGGCGTTCTTCCAGGCTCTGCACACTCAGTTACACGCGTTATGTAAATAGACATACGTGAAGTGTTTTTACGTAAAAAGGCCTAAACCATATGTGTCTTGTGCTACAGAATTTTTTAAAAATCTCCCAGAATAGCTTACACATTTTGGGTCGGTATCCATCAGTCTGTGGTCATCATTTACTTAACGACCTATCAGTGAACATAGGGATAATTTCCGGGTTTGTTTTTTTGTCTTTGATTATTACAATGCTGTGTAGAATGGGAAAGGTTAGGTTAAATCTTTGTGCACACGTATGGCATTTCTTTAGAATTTTAGGGTTGGGGTTTTAGAATTGATGGTTTAGCACCTGTGCATATTTAAAATGTTAGCTGATGTAAGCCAAATTGTTGTCCAAAAAGGCTTTATCACTTTCTCTTCCTTTTAGCAGGGAAGGAGACCCCACCAAAGTATCTTTTGTAACATGAGCATTTCCTCTTCTTATCTTTCACACTTTTTTTATCCTGTTACCTGAGTTTTAAATTTTGGTGTAGTCTCTTTTTTAACAGTGAATTTTCAAAATATAATGTGTATTAACAGATAAGACAACTGGAAGTTTTATTACTCTTGTGTACAACATCTTCCATCTTTTTTGGACTATTTCTTGTCTTACCGGAGTATACCCTTGTGTTAGTTTTGCAGAAAGTCTGTGGGTTTTGAATTTTCTAAGCCACACCGTGTCTAAAAATTTTTAATTTTCCCCTCATACTTGTAGTTTTGCTGGGTATTGCATTCCACGTGAAAATGATTTTCTTCAAAGAGTGACGATACCGTTCTGTTCTAGCACCGTTGTACAGATGAGCAGTCTCATCAGTTTATTGTTTCTTTTGTAGTTGATGTGTTTCCCATCCCTGCTTCCAGGTTTTAAGAGTTTGTTCTCTTTACTGTTCATATTCTAAGACGTTCCAAGCATGTGTGTTTGAAATTTGCTCTTTGTACCACATAGTGTCACTTAAAATTATGAAGATACGTCCATTTTCAGCCTAGCCAACTTTTGTTCTGTTTATCTCTTTTCCTTAATAATCTGTGTTTTCTCCTTCTGCAACTTCTGTTACAGTGGTTCATGCATTTTTCTTCTTGAATCTAAGATACAGAGCCTGTTCTTGGAAGCCTTCCATATTGCAGGTGCCCTTGACATTGTCACCTGTGTGGATAAGTGTGAAGGTACAGTTTGGATGTATTGAGTGATGGATAAATTTAGGCAAGAAAATAAGTCTTTACAAGGGAAGGTAAAGAAGGCAGTAATCAGAAGATTGACCTATACAGAAAATTGAGAATTCTCCTGTACATTTTTCTCTTTTCCTTGGCAAGTGTTGTCAAATTTTAGCATGTGCTTGATTTCAGATCTAGGATCCAGCGTTATGTCAGATCGTCCCAGTCCTTCCCACCCTTAGTATATCTCTGTCAGGTGTGGGATAGTCTCCACTTGTGGATTTTTGACTCTTCATTTTTGCTCATTACTTAGTTTATTCAACAGATATATTTTGAATGCCCTCTGGGACTTCAAAGATAATGTGACCTTGCTGCTGTGGTGGTCCGGAGGTTAGTGGGGACATGTGGCTGCCAGGTAGTGACTGGGCCACGCTGGAGGCGCGTGTGCGTGTCTGGGAGTGCGGAACATGTGATCGCCTACTTGTATGAGTCACAGGAGAAAGGCCATATGGGCCCGGTCGCGAAAACATCAGGTGTAGAGTGAGAAGGTGCCTCCGAGTAATTTGCTTGGAAAAGAAACTTAAGAGTATGTGAGGGTGAATGAGGGTAAAAATCATGTCCTTTGTCTTCTCTTAGATGTTAACTTGTGGGTAGGGACCACATCCTTGTGTGGTCATTCAGACACTCACAGTGCCAGCCCTGGGCCAGTGTTCAGAGACCCTGCAGCAGTCATCGTGAGGTCCGTCCCCGCCTGACTTTCTGTTCGCCCTCAGGACCAGGTGGCTGATCACAGATAATGTCTTCTTGTGAATCTAATTGGATCGGTAGTTGGGAATCAACAGCATTACCAATGAGGAATTCCATCCTGGTTAAGGTGTGCTGCTTCATGACAGGGAGCAGGGATAGCAGAATCTGGGTGATCTGGAAAATGGAATGTGAACAGTAAAGTGTATGCTTCCATGGGCCCTTTTCCCCAGAGCTGCAGCAAGTAGCAGAAGGAACTGACTGCCAGTAGACAAATGAGAATGCTACCACCCGGAGAGGAGCTAGGCACTGAGAAGTCAGCAGACTTGGTCCGAAAGCCAGTGTGGCGGTGTCGTGAGGGAGATAGGGGAGCAGGTTGGTCACTGCAGGTGGCTGGGTAAGTGCCAGGACCCTGCAACCGCCAAGACGTGGTTCCTGATTGTGCCCAATGCTTGGCCCCTCCCATTGACGTTTGCCAGGACAGTCATGTCCTGTGCTGAGGCAGCTGCCTCGGGACCAATTGGTACTTGAGTTAATGTCTTACACCTTTTCTCTTCTCTGTAAGCTGGAGGCTTTACAGGAATTCTGTTCTGTGGAAAGGATCAAGCAGGGTTGGGGAGTCTGCTGCAGGCACGGAAAGGTCAGGAGAGCAGGGCTCCCATTTGCTCCTTGATTCTTGTGTTGATTTATTTTACTTTCTCCTTTTCTCCCTTTGTGGCCCATGCTGTTTTTATTTCTACCCTTACACCTCTTCTGCTGCAGGAGAATTCAGGCAAATTTTGGGTGTTGTAGGAAGTTCTTTGTGGGGTGAGAGGAACAGCCCTCCTAGGTCAGATGTCACTCACTCAGTGACATAGCTGTTTATCCTGCTAATAGAACATGACCGTACAGGCTTCAGTCCTTAACTGCATAATCCTTGAGTGCATTCCCATCTTTGTAACCCATGGCACTGGGGCACTGGGTAGGCCTTTGGAATGAGGGCATGAATCGCTTGGTTAGGACCGGGGGACCTGGGGGGCCTGAGTCAGCTGCAGAAGATCAGAGCAGTGTGTAAGTGGGAGACTAGCAAGGGCCTTGTTCCTTCCTACCCGAAGAGTTGGCCAGAACTAAGACAAAAGAAACGCCTCTAAATGTTTTGCTGCCCCTGGGCAGGAAGAGAGGGAATGAAGTTTGGAGCAAGGGTGGGGGAGTCAGGCTGATGAGAAAACAGCTCAGAAAGTAAACATTTCTCCCCCTTCAGATGTCAAATACCAGGTCACAGCCCGGCAACGGGTGATCCCCATGAAGTGGACGAGGCCAGGGACTGTGTGTGCTGCCTCAGACCAGAATGCCCACTGGGGACCGGTGAGATGCGTCCAGTTCACATCCAGCTGAAATGCTTTCAGCTCAAAGCCCGAGGATGTTCTCGAATCGCTGTTTTTGGTGCCCTCAGTGTGGGCCGCCAGAATCCTTCCTAAATGCCGTTCTGCACAGCCTTGATACGGGAGACTCGCCTTTCACTGGGAACTGCTATTTGCTCGGTCCACAAAGAAGTTATGTAGCGTTTAGTGAAGGTAGATTTCAGGATGTTTTATTCTCGTATGCCGGGTTATTTCCTCTAAAGCCATTAGAAATCACAGACCATGACAGCTGTGGCTTGGGAACCACCATCCCTGCCTGTTCTGTAACTAGGCGGGTGCCCAGAGAGCTCGTCAGCTGAGTGCAAGCGGAGGTGAATCATGGGTGCAACTAATTTTAAAAGAATGGCTCAGTTATTTAGCAGACATATGATCAAGAAATGTGATTAGAGTATAAAAATTGCTGAAGAGATAGCCAAAATGAACACCATATTCAGAAAAGAACAGAAAACGACATGGCAATACTCTTAAAGAACAAACAGGGTGAAGCCTCCCTTGGAGTCTGGGAGCCAGTGTGGTGCTGTGAGGGGCAGGGGAGCACAGCCACTGCCGCTGTAGTTCGCACACTGCGAATCCGGCATTTGCAGGAATGCGGCACCTTAGGGAATCTTCCAGGAAGCGTGCTTTTAAAGTACATTTCATTTTGACCATTAATGATTAGAAGTCTTTTTAAACTCTTATTAGATAGAATATAATTGAACCTTCCTTTGATATTTGCAGGACCATTATTACGAATGTTCACGTTTGGTCTCCTGTGGGGCCACTGGGACGAGGCGACTCCTTGGGAGGTGAAAGGTCCCTGCTCTGACACTGTGCCTGCAGTGTGTCTGTTTAGCCTCCTTTCTCTCATTCACCTGCCAGGCCTCCCTGCTGCTGGTTCCCTCTTCCTCTCCCAGTTCTGAGATGTGGGCTGGCAAACTCAGTTGTAAAACTTAGTAGCACATTTTTAAAAAGAGAGGAGGCCTTGGTGAAGACAGGATAGTCTTGTGTGACTGGAGTTTGGGTGTAGATTGGATGTCCTGTCATTTGGCTGTTGGGGCGCCCCTCGCTCTT